ACACTCAGTAAGTTCCAATGTTTAACTTGCAGCACTGTTTGTTCATGGCTGTCTTTTACATAATCAGCCAATGCATGATGTTCTTCCTCAACAGTTTGTTTAACTTGAAATAAACCTCTGCCTTTTTTTATGTGGAGCAGGTATAATCTATCAATATCACTATGGGATTATAATACACATTATTAATTTCCTTGTTTTTCAGTCCAAACTGTCCAGTTCAGTTTATGTTTGGGGAATAATGCTGGTAGTGTATCATATCAAAGGTATGGCCCAAGTATTGATGGGTGTGTTTATTTTTTGCAATTTTCTCACTCTCTGAATATATTTTTTACTAATCACATTTTCTTTTTTTCTTTTTTTAAACAGGTTTTATTAATTTTCCATTTTTACAAAGCTTCAGGTATTAAGGAAGCAACATGGTGACTGGGTAATACATATCCAATAACAAGCTTTTCCATACATATGTCAGTTTACATCATCAAAGATTTCCTCTCTGTTTCCCTTAGTTATTATACCAGATTCAAATTAATACATTGCTAGTTATAACTCAATCATCTGAAACATTTATCAACAACTTTTGACTTATACGCCTCCAGATCCTGTTTTTAACTTTTATCTGATTTCAATTACAGTATTCCAGTTGGCTTAATGTCCATAGTGTTTAGGTTTCGGATAACCCACAGTTCCCTTAGTTCATTACAGAATAATTATGTCTAAAATACACTTATTATTTATTCAAATAAATTCTTAGTTTATTTCACAATCATATTCTACTTCTCATTCTAATATCACTGCTTACTAATAAAAAAACCTTTGTCCTCTGAATCCATCTTCTATATTATAATTCAAAACTATTATTCTAGTAATTAATTTATTTCCCTTATAGGTATAAATCCTGAATATTAAATCAATTAATGTCTTTTAAAATCTCCTTATCCCATTAAGTGAGATTTAAGGCTCTTCCATTAAAGGTCACATAAAAAAACCCCATTTTTTAAGTCTCTGTCCTTCCTTTTGTGCCAAACAGGCTTCCATAACAGAGCTTTTAAATCCTCGGGTGGATCTCCCTTCATTCCTGCATATGTCATTTGAATCAAGGGAGACCATCCAGTCATCAACTTGTCAAGGAAGCTAGTCCCTTCATAGTCAGATTGTTGGCCTGATAGTTTGAGTCTCCATATTTGGCTTAGTATATTTGTCGTGAGTTCAGGCTGGTCTTCTTCTTCTGATTTCAGCTGATTTAGATGAAAAGTCATATTCAATGTTGTAGTTGTTATCTGGTCATCTGGGTTATCTGAATTCTCAGTGTATTGTGTATGTAAGTCTTCAGCACCTTCTGTCTTAGTGTTGCTTTCTTCAGTTTCTGTTGCTGTTGAAGTTGCAGATTCTTTGGATGAAATCAAAGTTTGGGTATCAGAGTTCTGAGTAGATTGTAGCTGGCATTCTTTAAAATCCACTTTAGTGTTAATTCCTTCTTCTTCTGTTGCTTTTTGGGTTGTAAGTTCATCTATTGAAATCAGGGCTATGTTTTGTAGCTTTAAGGTGGCGCGTATATCTTTCAGTCTGGAATTCATTAGCTCAGTAGCCTCTAAGATTTTTTCAAGTATAAATTAGAAATTAAGCTGTGGGTGGTGTTCCTCCATTTCTGTGGTATTTATGAATAGTCCTTTAGTGGAGGCTATTTTTAATAAAAGTCAATAAATATCCACCTCCACTATAGAGAATTATTTTCACCACCCAGCTATTTCAAGTTCTTATCTTTTTTGATAATGTCAAGGACAAATTTTAGTCTCACAAGTCTCCCAGTCAAAAAAATTTCACTTGCTGCACCAAATTTTGCCACAAGATATCCCCGGTAACATGCAAAGTTAAGCTTTTATCTTGTTCAAAGATGGAAGAAAGAAATATTCTTTTTTTTTTCAGCTTAGCAAACAAGCAAAACAATAAGTCTCTGTAAGAATAAAGAACTTTTTAGTAGCCTAGGTATCCAGAAATTACAAGTCCAAATATTTAGTTGTTTAGTCTAGCTGTTGTTTTTTTTTCCTTAGCTTTATATTCCCAAAGTAGGCAGGAGCCGCAGAATTGAGAAGGGGGAAAAGCTACTTCCAAAGGCTTTTACAGGGAAATAGTTGGGAAGCAGGAAAGGTAAGTTAAGGTCTCACCCAACTCCTCCATGTTGCTTTCGTCATGCTTAGTAGTGCTTTGGGCTTTGGAATGGCTTGGTGTTCCAGCCGTTTTCTTTGTTGGTCTTTTCTTTGTCGGTCCAAAGGAGCTGCCTCGGATCCAACGGAAGGGCTGCCACCCTTCCACGGTCAGTTGAGGGTCCTCCTCAGCAGTGGTCGCCCCCCTAGGGCGACTTTTGACCCTTTGCAGGGTCTTCCGATGGAGAAAAACCGGACGGTGGAGAGAGCAGTCTCCTCGCACGCACGCCGGTACCACGGCGATTGCAAACCAGAAGCCCTAATCACATTTTCAACTTGTACATGCTAGATGTTATCCCATTGTAAAATGTCTAGAGATTTGTAGGTTTCATCAGATTTGGCCATTCGGCATTTCAGTTCTAATCCTGTTTGTGATTTTATCCAATGTATTGCTATTAATATTATTTTTCATTATTTTAACTCACTACTACTTGTTCTTTTTCTATGCCTTGCTTTTTCCACAAGGAAATAGCACAATGGGCATGAGTACAGGGAATGATATGAACATTTTCATCAGAGTTTTTCTCCTCTATACTTCTGTGCATGCTCTCCTGCCATCTGAAGAGTATTCTTCAAATGTTACATGAAGCAGATCCTAGCTCGCCAAAGCCAAGTTTTTCTTGTTGTTACTTAAGGATGTCATATGGCACCTTGTTATTATCAAGAAAGAAATCCTCATCTAATAAATGCTGTCTTTGTTACAGGTCTTAAAACCATTCCTCATGCTTGAGAGAATTAGATTCTTAAAGACAATTTTGTCTGAGTCCAGGAAATTCACTAATCAGCCAATAAATAAAATAACAGAATGTTTGCTGCCTAAGTGATTACACTAAGTCTCAATCAACCAATCTAATTAAAAATACATTTTGCTGAATTTACCTCTGAAGAAACCAAAGTTTGCAGTATCTTACAGATCTTGGCTTTCAGTTTTTCATATTTTTTTTAACTTAATGGGAAAAATGACTTCATGATCACACCCAAATTTCTTGCCTAATGGAACAAATTGTGTGAAGTTTGGCCACTAAGCTGAAAGGAAAGGAAAGGAAAGGAAAGGAAAGGAAAGGAAAGGAAAGGAAAGGAAAGGAAAGGAAAGGAAAGGAAAGGAAAGGAAGGAGGAAGAAACATAGAGGGTCTAAATGTTGTGTTTGCTGCAGGCCTTAGAGCTGACAGATCACAGCAAAAGCTTCTCAGAGTATATATCACACACAATGAACACTAAATTCAACATTCCCATTACCACACAAGACTTTCCAGGAAAAGTATTAGCCACGTCATGTTGATGTATTCATATAACACACCTATGAAATAATAGAATAGGCTGACATGCCAGCCTGTGGTTATGAGTTATGATCTTAATCCTTTTGCTTTTGCCTGGAGACAGAGAGTTCTTTTAAATGGAAAACAAAACACTCAATGAATAATGTAGCCATTGAGCTAATTGCTAACCACAGTCCCTTTGAAACAATGTGCAATGTGGGAACAAGGAGGAAAAATACATGAGCCATTTGCACCAAGTTCAACGAATGCCAGGGTCATGCACAATCAGGTGGAAAGCTCTCTTATGCTGCAAAAAGAACTTCTTGCTAATGCAGGATTAGCGTAACTCAGCTGCTCTAGTCAAGTGGCTGTTTAGTTCCTCCCCCCCCCACCCAACTGTGGTGACTCAGTTAGGGTTGATGCCAGAAGTAGAGTTGGTGAGATATAATGTCCCACCACTTCCTGTCCCTGTTATTTATTCTTGTAGGGCTGGTAGAAGTCGGTAGAATGTAAACATGGACAAGCATTACAAACTTCCAACAAAAGCCCTGTTTTTGTAGGATCTTGCTTTTTTGCCTCTATTCCTGCAGTTGAATGGTAGGATTGAACTGGGTATGGATTGCAAATGAGGAGGTGGTTTAGTCTTTTTATTTCCTTTTTGGATTTTTGATTGGTTTTTTTGAGTGGTATGTAAATGTTGTTTATGTCTGTGTGCTTGTTGATGGCCAATTTGTCTGAGTTGTCTTAATCTCACTAGCAATGAACACCCATCTGAGCAGAGATTAACACCAAGATTAACATTAGACTAACAATCAAGAAGCAAACAACAGCCCAATCAAGGAACCACCAAGACCACTCCCACCAACACTGACAGGGCAAGTATATAAAATGAGAGCAAACTCCAGTTCCTTCTAGCACTGATGATGTTACCTAGTTTGGTAATGAAAAGTCTGCAAGAAAACAGACAAGGTCAGAGAGTACCAATGACCCAGCAGCCATAGTGATGCAATGGTTAGAATGTAGTATTGCAGGTTAACTCAGCCCACAGCCAGGATTTCGATCCTGACCGGCTCAAGATTGATTCAGCCTTCCATCCTTCCGCGATCGGTAAAATGAGGACACAGATTGTTGGGGCCAATATGCTGGCTATGTAAACCACTCGGAGAGTCCAATAAAGCACTATTGCTATTGACCCCATAGTTCAACCCTAAACTACAAATATTCTCTTCCATTGGAGAATGACTATGATATGAAATAGGAAAGCACATCCCTGCTTTCTTTCTTTCTTTCTTTCTTTCTTTCTTTCTTTCTTTCTTTCTTTCTTTCTTTCTTTCTTTCTTTCTTTCGGGTTGGGAGAATATGGTGCTTATTCCAGGACAAAAGTCCAAATTCATCTGAACTCTATTTCTCATGTTCTAAGCAAGCATACGTAGAAATCAAAATCAGTTTGAAAAATTGCAAATCAATAAAAAAGGCCCAAGTATAGCCATCCTCTCTCTCATTTCACATTTCTTTTGTGCAACTTGGGTTTCTGACTCTCACCTTAAGCCCTCCTGACCAGGTATGCTATGGTCCCATTCTTTATGCAGTGTAATCCATCTTGTACAAGAGCTCATCGTCCAGGTAATTTAAATCAAGTTCCCAGAAACCAAATCCTTCCTGTTGCACATCAATGGCGTTTGTGGGCCCCGAAAGTGACAAAAGACCTTTCCTTCTTTAACAAGACAAGAAAATAATTGCTAATAGTTTCCTTTGCTTCTCCCTCAGCCATTGTCCACTGTAAACAGAACACAAACCCCTTGGAATCTATTAGTGAATATCTGGATACTTACATTGTAAAAGAAAGTAATTCAGAACCCAGCTCAGTGGGAGTGAGCTGGCAGGCAATCAGTCTAATCAGCCTCTGATTATTTACACCATGAACTCTGGAAGTTGATACTTGAATGGTGGCAGAAGAGGTGGCCAAGAAAATATGATTGAAATACTGTAAGAATGGTTTTATGTTACTAAGGACAAATGTGCAGCAGAGAAAGATGGGGGAGAGAAAAGAGTACACAGTTTCTGACTGTATACTTCATAGTAGGTTATCTGGGCAATGGAATGTTTGTTTATTTATTTTTCATGTTTCTGGAATATTTTGATGTACAATAAAATGATCAACCCAGAACTCTTCTTAGAGGCACAGGTGATCAAGTGCAAGTTATCCTGCTTCGAACACATTATGTGAAGACCAAGCTCTCTGAAGGAGGCTCTAATGCTGAGAAAGATGGAAGGGAAGAGAAGAGGACAACTAGCAGCAAGGCAGATAGACTCAGTTACAGTACAGTGTGAGTCGTGCACTGATCTGAAAAAAACAAGTTAGAGATAGATTGACATGGAGAAATTCTATCTATGTGATTTTTAGGCAAATTGATGACAAATAATCAATCAACAATAAAATGATTATGTGAACAGCCCTTAAATGGTGCTTTTGTCAGCTGAGAAGTTTCTTCAAAATATATTTCAATAGCGTTTCAGTGTCATGATTCTACTTAGTTTGAAATCCATTTGATAAATTAGTTACTAGTTGCATTCTGTCCAAGGTCATTCTTATGCCCCTTAGTTGGATTGTGGCTGGGCTTTGAAGAATAATCAGTGATTCTTCTTTCACTGTAAAGGTGAGGTATAAATGAAATACATTAACCCGCCAGCAAATATATTATGTTAGGCTTATCTTGTCCTGTGGATCATTTCTCCTCTAAATACTGTTTATCAGCAAAGCAGAGCCAATACTCATAGACTCATAGAGTGGGAAGGTCTTAGAAGTCTTTTAATCCAAATTCCTGCTCAGATGACTACTCTGCTTGAAAACCTCCAATGAAGAACTAATGTAGCAGCCTGTTCCACAGGCTGACAGCTCATAGAGCCAGGAAGTTCTTCCAGTTCTCTTGCCTGAAGCTTCTTCCTTGTAATTTTAATGTTTGTTCTGTTCCCTCTGTGACAATAGACTGCAAATCTACTTCTCTTCAATGTGACAGCACTTCAAATATTTTAAGACTGTTATGATATCTTCCTTGTTTCATATTCAATTTTTTTAACCTTTCCTCATAGTGCTTAGTTTCAAGGTCATGGCGCTTGGTTTTTAATCTTTATATCTGGTAGGGCTTTGGGAGTGGGGAGGGGAAGGATTACAGGTAGTCCTCAGATTACAACCACTCAGTCAGCAAAGTTTATGATGGGGCTGAACAAGACCCAGATTATGCCATCATAATCCGAGAACTGCCTCTATATGGAGCAGTCCACTTACAAAACTGCTTTTAAAAGGCCAGTGCAAAGGATACTCACTAAGAATCCAGCTGGTTTTTATATTGTGACATATCATGTCAAAAAAAAAAAAACAATGTAAGAAACTGAATTACCACATCTCAGAACAGCACGTTATTTTCTGTTCATTTATTTATGAACCAGTAAAAAACTTAACGATATTAATGCAAAGGACATTTTCTGCTTCATCCTAAATTAATTTATTTTGCAGTGTTCTTGAACCTAAGGGCATGCAGGTACACGGGGGGGGGGGAGTATTGCATCAGTGTTTTTTTAATGTGAAGTCTCATTTCATTTTGTGCAGAATAGCTTGAGAATCAATGTGCGATGCCTCTAAACATAATTACAAGATCAAGTGTAATATACAGATATGTGTGTTGCGTCATTAGCTTTTGGGAGGTGAGGGAATCACTGCTATATGCATAGAGATCCCTTCTTATTTGCCTGTAGTTATCTTCCTAATAAATAATAATGGAGTTTAGCTGAAACACATTGTTGGTGTCATTTCTTAAAGTATGAACTATAAAATTCTTTATCAGCATTTCAATTTTGGTATGTCATTAGCAGTTTCTCTTTTCCACCCATCCATTATATTATTAACTAGGTAAACAATCTTCCAATGTCCTGCACAGAATAGGAGTGGGATCTCATCCTCTCTTGCAACCTTTAATTACTGGTTTTTCCCTTCTATCAGTTCTTTCTCTTCTTGCCATTTCCAGAACATAGGCATCTGCAATCTGCAGAAATGGATCCAGAGTCATATTAAAACGCAGGTGATGTCAGCCCATAATGTTACCTAAAACTGAATAAAATGTAGATGTAACATTCATGAGTGGGGGGGTGCAGATTCTGGCATATACAAGTAGTTCTCGACTTACTGCCACAACTGAGCCCAAAATTTCTGTTGGTAAGTGAGATCTTTGCTAAGTGAGTTTTGTTCCATTTTACGACCTTTCTTGCCACAGTTGTTAAGTGAATCACTGCAGTTAATTAGTTAGTAACCTGGTTAAGTGAATGTCTTCCCTGTTGACTTTGCTTGTCAGAAGTTCGGAAAAGGTGATCAATGCAACTGTCATAAATATGGACCAGTTGCCAGGCATCTGAATTTTGATTGCATAATCATGGGGATGCTGCAAAGGTCGTAACTGTGAAAAATGGTCATAAGTCACTTTTTTCAGTGCCATTGTAACTTTGAATGGTCAGTAAGTCAAGTATATTTTATTAAGGTGCTAAGGATGGAATCTGTCAGCTCATTGTCTTTATCCAGTCCGTTATCCATTTTCAGTGATCTGCAACCCCTTAACTCCCTTCAGTTAAATCCCAAAGAAAGTGATCATAATGGAATTCCTCACATAGGGTTTTTTATAGCATGAAGTGCAGGCACCTGGAGAGGTGTTTGACTGAAAAACAAAACTTTTGGATTGAGCAACAATAAAGAAAGCTTAGAACAGGGCTTTTCAACTAGTGGTACGGGTACCACCTGTGGTATATTGGCACCTGGCAAGTGGTATGTGACCATCCTAGAAAAGTTGTAGCAGGGGAGGGGAATGAGCTGAACCATGGCAGGACTGCACAAGCCTGAGTAAGAGATGGCTGGAGCTACAGGGCTGTCAGGGCTCAGCAGAAGCGCCAGGATCAGTACCGCTTTCCAGATGATCGGTGCTTCTTCAGGGCTGTCACGGCTCAGTGGCAGCACCAGGATCAGCGCCAGGCTTCAGCTGGAGCTCAGTGCTTATCCTGGTGCTTCTGCTGAGCCCTGAAGAAGCACCAATGAGCTGGAAAGCAGCACTGATCCTGGTGCTTCTGCTGAGCCCAGAAGAAGCGCCGATCAGCTGGAATGTTGCAGCATCTCCAAGGTCTTGTGATTTACATTCAGATGCTTGGTAACTGATTCATATTTATGATGGTCACAGTGTCCCAGGGTCATGTGAAGTGACCAAAACCTGCTGCAACCACCCAGCAGACAGGGGGAATAAAAATCAAACACCTCCCACCCCACCTCCGCTGCCAATCCTTAACAGAAATGCTCACAACAATGAAAACCTCGGACAGGAGGAAGACAGGCAGGCAGGTGTCTTGCTCGGCTGTGGCTTGGGAGGCACTTTTTTCAGTGCCATTGTAACTTTGAACAGTCATTAAGTGAACTGCTGTAAGTCAAGGACTACCTGTACTTTATCACTTTTTTCCTTTTTTTGTGGAGTGTCATCAAGTTTTTGACATCTTGCTAGGCAACTGGTGGTACTTGGATATTGCCATATCCTAAAAGTGGTACAATGGGTGAAAAGGTTGAAAAGCCCTGGCTTAGAACACAGTAGGGGGGAAAAAAACAGGAACCTTTTTTTGTAGTAAACCTTGGGGAAAACAGAGGCCTTATTACCAACAGTATTATAAATCAAGGTGAAGGCCATGTCACTCTGGACCTTCAGGCTGCACACTTCTCGCTTTAGGACAGCAGACACATAAACAGGACTGAAAGGTATTGTTGGCTTGTGAGGCAAGACTAGTGGTTGATTATTAAAGTGAAATGGATTTTTGTTTACCTCAATTTAATTTAACTCTCCAACTGTTTAAAAGTAAGGTGACCAACCGTCCTCCTTTAGGGAGGACAGTCCTCCTTTTGTGAGTTCTGTCCTCCCTCGAAAAGTGTTCTCCTACATGTCCTCCTTTTCAAGACTAATCTACAGGGCTTTTTTTTCCCTCATAGAATGCTCAGAACGGCATTCCAGCACCTTTTTTTGATGGTTTTTTTTCTCAACTTTTGCATGAGCTGTGCTACTCCCCCTATTGGCTTTCGAAAGCCAATAGGAATTGCTGCTGAGCGCACCAAAACACCCAGCCGGCAAACTATGCACATGTAAGTTGTCTGCAGTGAAGGCAAATTGGCAGGAACTTTGCACCCCTCCCTGCTATCCAACTACACCATCTCCTAGTTAGTCCCAAAGATACCTGGAGGAGACAGGAGCAGCGACGCCATGATAACTTTCTCTTGATCTTTGGCCCTGCTAGGGCAATAATGGCTGCAGGTGCAAGAGGCAGGGGTGGTGGGGCTGCTACGGGCAGGGGTGTGAGGGGTGGCTGTGGCCGGCTGCCCCCCATGCTGTGGGAGCCACGGGGCCTGCTCTACACGGGGCTGCGCAGGATGGGCGGTGGTGCTGGCGGGGCAGCTGCAGGTGAAGTGTGCCAATGGCGGGCTGCCCCCCGGGGGCGCAGCATTTAAGCATAATTATAATATAAAATATTATTGTTACATGTTTTTATTATGCATTTATCATATTATAGTGTATTCTATATTATTGTTGCAATGAATAAAATGTTTCTTTTATTTACGATATTTTTTTCTTCAATTTATTTGAGTCCTCCTTTTCATTGTAAAAAAGTTGGTCACCTTATTAAAAGGCCAGATGAAAAGCTGGAAAGGTTGTGCTAACAGTTCACCGGCTGTTGGGACAGTCAACCTTAGAACAGTAAGTCATCTGATCATTTTGCTATCTCATTCTGTCTCTCTGGCAGGCCCTTACCTGTCTGTCAGGCCTTTAGAAAGTC